AACCCAATTTCTTAACTGAGAATAATTGTAATCTGCGTTCGTCCTCAGAAGAGTTTTTGTGTGGCTTACAGTTTAGCTGTGATATCTTGTCTTTCTGCCCAACAAATACACTGTCAGCAAATCCTCTTTAAAGAAAAAAAAAAAAAAATCACAAAACAACAGGTTTGTTAGGGATGGGGTTTGTTGAGATCTAAACCAGCCAATGAACATAGATGGGAAACATAGTTTGAAGAAAACTGTCTTTCTCAACCAAGAACTGAGGTTGTACAACTGCCTTGACAAGCATAATCAATATATCCATCATTTTCATTGCTGATCACATGATATAAGTGCAACGATAAAACACCAGCTTGTCACAAAATGTTGACTTGCGGCAGGTAAAGACTGATTATTAGACACAACTGTTAAGGTCACAGTCAGAGATGGAATGTACCAGAAGGTATTATTAAATGTGAATTCAAATCACTAGTTTAAATCCACCAACATAGAAACACATGAACATTTGAACACATTCAGGAATGGCATTACAACTATAATCACAACTATTTAAAGACATATATACCCTGTTCCACCCATTAGAACTGAAATTATCGTGCCTGGTTGTGCATTAATAGGTGAAGCAAAGGCAAGACTGCTAACTTCACTGCATCAGGTTTTATCCCACAGGGTTGTGTTCCCTGACAGAATAGCCCAGGACTGAATGGGTTACCCAGGAAGATAGAAGAAGGTGACAAGACTGAAGTTAGCCAGAAAGATGGAAGAAGGTGACAAGACTGGTGTTACCCAGGAAGATGGAAAAAGGTGACAAGACTGGAGTTAGCCAGAAAGATGGAAGAAGGTGACAGAACTGGTGTTACACAGGAAGATGAAAAAAGGTGACAAGACTGGAGTTAGCCAGAAAGATGGAAGAAGGTGACAGGACTGGTGTTACCCAGGAAGATGAAAAAAGGTGACAAGACTGGAGTTAGCCAGAAAGATGGAAGAAGGTGACAGGACTGGTGTTACCCAGGAAGATGAAAAAAGGTTACAAGACTGGTGTTACCCAGGAAGATGGAAGAAGGTGACAAGACTGGTGTTACCCAGGAAGATAAAAAAAGGTGACAAGACTGGTGTTACCCAGGAAGATGAAAAAAGGTGACAAGACTGGTGTTACCCAGGAAGATGGAAGAAGGTGACAAGACTGGTGTTACCCAGGAAGATGGAAGAAGGTGACAAGACTGGTGTTACTCAGGAAGATGGAAGAAGGTGACAAGACTGGTGTTACCCAGGAAGATGGAAGAAGGTGACAAGACTGGAGGAACTCAGGACTGAATGAGTTAACCAGGAAGATGGAAGAAGGTGACAAGACTGGAGTTACCCTGGAAGATGGAAGAAGGTGACAAGACTGGAGTTGACCAGGAAGATGGAGGAAGGTGACAAGACTGGAGGAACTCAGGACTGAACGAGTTAACCAGGAAGATGGAAGAAGGTGACAAGACTGGAGGAACTCAAGACTGAACGAGTTAACCAGGAAGATGAAAGAAGGTGAAAGACTGGAGGAACTCAGGACTGAACGAGTTAACCAGGAAGATGGAAGAAGGTGACAAGACTGGAGTTAACCAGTAAGATGGAGGAAGGTGACAAGACTGGAGGAACTCAGGACTGAACGAGTTAACCAGGAAGATGGAAGAAGGTGACAAGACTGGAGTTAACCAGAAAGATGGAAGAAGGTGACAAGACTGGAGGAACCCAGGACTGAAAGAGTGGTCAGGAAGATGGAAGAAGGTGACAAGACTGGAGGAACCCAGGACTGAAAGAGTTAACCAGGAAGATAGAAGAAGGTGACAAGACTGGAGGAACCCAGGACTGAAAGAGTTAACCAGGAAGATAGAAGAAGGAGACAAGACTGGAGGAACTCGGGACTGAAAGAGTTAAACAGGAAGATGGAAAAAGGTGACAAGACTGGAGGCGTGGTGTCTTGAGAATGTTATAATTGTACTGTAAAAACAAGAAAACAAAAACAGTTTCTGACAGCAGCAGGTAGTTACAATCATTCATCCAAATGAGGAGAAAAATACAAACAAAATGTAATAGGATACGTGACCACAGGGAGCTGGAGTAGGGTAGTGGCTAGAAGCTCACCTGCGTTCCCCAAAATCTTGGGTTCAAATCTGCATCAAGCTGGATTGATTTTTTCTTCTTCATGTTCACCGGCTGTAAATTCCAGTAGAACGTCTTGGTTGTTCCCCCATTTTAAAACTTTGGTCTTGTTTTTCTAAAACTTGAGTTTTGCATGCACATCAGATTTACAGAACTAGTTTATTTGAAAGCAGACTATTGGTTCCTTGCCTCTCAGGCAAAGGTGCTTTTGGCCTTTTTCAAAATGAGTTACTCTAATGACATGCTTTGGGGTTGGGGGGAGGGAAAGGGTTGTGGGTCTATTTCATTCCCCCCCCCCCCCCCAATCCCTACATTGGGGACCTGGCCAGCCTAGAATGAGTACCAGGTAATGTCTCAGGAAGTAATGGCCTCATCAGGCACTGAGTTGGTCTATACAAATATGAGACTAGCATCATATGCTCAGGAGCTGGTGAATAGAAGAGAAAAAAAAACTGCCGGCAAGAGAGGTAAAGGAAAACAGATAAAGATGTTGAAAAGCTTTAACAGAGCGGAGATTGGTTCTTTTCCACTACATCTCAGGAGCTCCAAGATTTCATAGGGAATTTCTAGGGAGTTCTCCGGAAAGTCCTATATTATGGGGGGGGGAGGAGATATTTAATTCTCATTTGACTGGCGATGGCACACAGCGCTGTGTTCGTTCACAGAAAGAAAGAAAGTTACTAAATAGTCCGTCACAGAAAGAAAGAAAGTTACTAAACAGTCCGTCACAGAAAGAAAGAAAGTTACTAAACAGTCAGTCACAGAAAGAAAGTTACTAAACAGTCAGTCACAGAAAGGAAAACTGGGCACTTTCGTCTGGGAGACTGCTTGTTGACCCGGTCGAACGAAGTCAACACACGTTTTCGCACATCGTATGAACGCATGTCCGAACACCCAAACAATACAGGACTTGCCCGAGGACTCCCCCAAAATTCTCTAGCAAATCTCGCAGCCATTGAGGTGGGGTGAAAAAGCTGAAAAGAAGCAATAATAATATAAGCAGCAGCACCTTTATCTAAATGTCGGATGAAAGAGGGGATTGTAGACTTATGATTGTCAATTTCTGCTCTAAACCAAACACATGAATCTGAGCTGCCATTTATGAGCTCTCACCCATCATTGATTATAAATGTGAATACTTTTCAGTGCTATCAACTTTTGTGTTTGATGATTCCTGTTATGGTTGAGGCCCCATTTTTTTAGTGGGGGGAGGGGGAGGGGGAACTGCCCCCCCCCCCCCCTCTCCCTAACATTCATGTATTAATTAGGGGTTTTCTGAAATCAGACCTCAGGCTAAAAAGTGCAGATATGACAGCCTAACTGTAAACTACAACACAAAGTGCCAACCGCCGCTTTTTTAAGAGAGAATGCAGAAGATGAAGAAGAAGAGGCTGAAGATGAAATTGGGAACATTCTGGAAACCAAAATAACTTAAAGGAACTGCTGGCACATTATAAATAGCTTCTGTTTCGGACGAATGAACATTTTCATATGTATATCATAAATCTATCAACATTAACACATTCACTCTACTTGCCTCTCTGGAATGTGCTCATATATATTTTAATAACATTGTATTGTCTGTAAAAATAACAAGTGAACAATTCTAACCAATGCACCAGATTTCATTTAAAACATATCTTATAAATGTACACTAGAAAATTGTCGGCAATGCATGGAACATCTTGTATGTACACTGAAAGATCTTTGAAACAGTGGTTGTATCGGACACATAATGAGACTTTTTTTTTTTTAAATTACATGCACTCATGATACTTTTCTCCTATTTTATTTCCAACTTTCTCATTCATGTTGAACAATACTGAGTGTACATCGTAGATTTATTAAACAATATGATCATAAACATCTGCAATAAATGAAAGAATAATGTATGTCATTTTTCGCACTGTCACCTATATACCCTTGCAAAACTGTTGTGCTGCAACACATCTTGCAAACAGAGACCATGCTGGAACACATCCTGCAAACAGAGACCGTGCTGGAACACATCCTGCAAACAGAGACTGCTAGAACACATCCTTTGAACAGATACTTTGCTAAAACACATCCTGCAAACACTAATTGTGCTAGAACACAGCCTGCAAACAGAGACTGTGCTAAAACATCTCCTGCAAACAAGTACTGTGCTAGATCACAGCCTACAAGCACAGACTGCTAGATCACATTCTGCAAACAGAGACTGTGCTACAACATCTCCTGCAAACAGAGACTGTGCTACAACATCTCCTGCAAACAGAGACTGTGCTACAACATCTCCTGCAAACAAATACTGTGCTAGAACACAGCCTGCAAACAGAGACTGTGCTACAATATCTCCTGCAAACAAATACTGTGCTAGAACACAGCCTGCAAACAGAGACTGTGCTACAACATCTCCTGCAAACAGAGACTGTGCTACAACATCTCTTGCAAACAAATACTGTGCTAGAACACAGCCTGCAAACAGAGACTGTGCTACAACATCTCCTGCAAACAAATACTGTGCTAGATCACAGCCTGCAAACAGAGACTGTGCTAGATCACAGCCTACAAGCACAGACTGCTAGATCACAGCCTGCAAACAGAGACTGTGCTACACTATCTCCTGCAAACAAATACTGTGCTAGATCACAGCCTGCAAACAGAGACTGTGCTACACTATCTTCTGCAAACAAATACTGTGCTAGATCACAGCCTGCAAACAGAGACTGTGCTACAACATCTCCTGCAAACAAATACTGTGCTAGATCACAGCCTGCAAACAGAGACTGTTCTAGATCACAGCCTGCAAACATCTGTGGAAACAAAAATCATGACTAAGTAGCAGCAGAAGCAAGAAGTGGACATGATGGTCAACATGTTCAACAAGGGCTGTGTTTGGTATTCAGCAGTGGAATAAGGCAAGATGGTGGACCTGCTTGTCTGAGGAACTGGTGCAACATGAGTTCCGCTGCACTGGCTCGTTGTTCGTTATTGCGTATCAACATACGGTCGAGGAAACCCTGCAGTCGTGGTGACACCTGAAACAAGGTTAGAAGCATGTCATTAAATTTTGTTTGAAAAAGTCCCACTAAATGGGGCTGAAAAAGCCTCACCAAATCGGGCTGAAAAAGTCCCACCAAATGGGGCTGAAAAAGTCCCACCAAATGGGGCTGAAAAAGTCCCACCAAATGGGGCTGAAAAAGTCCCACCAAATGGGGCTGAAAAAGTCCCACCAAATGGGGCTGAAAAAGTCCCACCAAATGGGGCTGTTCAGCTCAGACGCAAAAGATTAACAGACTTTTACAGATGTAAAGTAGGTTACAACTGTGCACACCTCTGTGTTGGTCAAAGATGACTTTTAATGCATTTGAATGTGTCCATTTCATGTTCTGGTTTTCTTCAGTAGATGACACAGGATAATCTCAGAACAGAACATGATCGCTGTATGACTACACATTTTATTAGGTTTGCCACTGTGGTTTTGGGGAATATTATGTTGTGGAGCCTCAATGTCTTCCTTGGAGGGATTCTCATTCTGCTCTCTGTAAACAATGATAATGATTTAGAAAACCCACCATGGAAATATAACCCTAGTAAGAGGGGATTATTAAATTGTTAAACTTGTTTACTCATAAGCCACAGAGCCACAATGACACTTGTATTTTATGTTATAAATATTTACCTGTGGGTAGGTTTTCTAAACTGGGAATGTAGTCTGGGTAACAAGCAACCCAGCATGACTAGTATGTTTTACAATTTCCATCTGCCTAGGAATTGTTAACAACATGCACATAGGCCCTTTAAACTGTTTATCCTTGTCTGGGAAGTTTACATGTCCAATATACCCAGAATCAGAATAAACTATCAGTAAAAACAAAACATGGTACAACTAGTGATTGCCAAAAAAACTCGCTAGAGTCAAGCATGAAACCTGCTAGTTTACCCATGTGGGTTCTGGGACCCCATGCTCGGGTGCAAAGGGAATAGCCTCATTGCCACCTAACAAACATGTAAAAGTCGACTAATTACAGGTGTTGCCTTAGAGACTGCGTCTGCCTGAGAGGCGAGGAACTAACAGTCTGCATAAAAACAAGCCAGATCTGTAAAATTAACAAGCATACAAAACTCGAACTCTGGAACAAGACCACAGTCCTGAAGGGGACAAACAATCAGGATTTTCCACTGGAGATTACAGCCAATCCATAAGACAACGATGAAGAAGAAGCAGACATCGGCAAGTTACCTTGTGTGGGTTCTTGAGCTTGGGTGGAGGCATGTCCCGGATGTGTCTCATGGCTTGCAGCGGTGGTTCGTTGAAGAATGGAGGCTCTCTGTCAACCATTTCGATCACCATGACGCCCAGTGACCAAATATCAACCTGTCATTTACACAGCATAAAATAGATGTTTCAATCAACTGATCATTTAACTTTTAGATCTCAGGGGTTGACAACGATTAACTCCTTTTGTTCCAATCACTGCACTAAGTGTGACTGGGTTTTACTTATGTCTACCAATCAACATGTTATGTATGTTTTAACATTTTATGTTTCATCAAAGCAAGTTTCCCCATTGTAAAATTGAACAAAGAAGACAAAAACAATAGAGAGCAGATAAGTGAATCCTTTAAAAATGATGTACAAATTTAAACACTCTCAAAAGAAACTGCCTGAAGCCACCACTATTTGTTATCTGTGTCCAGAACTTACTAAACAGAAAGATATGGTAGTGATCCTGTGACTGCCCTGGTAAAACAGGCAGTGTTTTTTATTTTGTTTTAGAGTGTTGTACTTCAGTTATAAAGGATTCACTTTACTTCATTTTGTTTAATTGTTACTGTAGTAGGCACCCGATGAGATACAACAAAATATGCGAGGCAATAAATTGTGCAATCTATTGTTTGTGTTTTCCTTGTTTTCATTCAATGTTTAGTGAAGGAATCTCAACAGCCCTGACAACATATCTGTTTCCTGCAAGGGCTGTTTATTTGGCCCCTCTAGAAGTAGCATACCCATGAGTTTAGTATTGTCATTCATAACCTGGCAAATGTCAGCAAAGAACCAATGCTTAACTATAAACATAGACCAGCAAATCAAACAGTTCGCCCACTTGGATAGAATGCCTTGGTATCCATTTAAGCTAGATTAACCTCAAAGCCCAAGTAAATTATAAGAAGCCTCAATATGGCATCGAACCTGAGATCTGATGTCTACAGGTGAGCACTTAACCACTGCGCTACCACAGCATCTTTACCATGTTTTATGTAGTAGTTTTATCTTGAACTTGGCTAAGACCGGTCCCAAGCCTGGCTGAAAATGGAGGAGGTTCTGGCTGAACCTGAGTGCTTCCTGAGTTTCTAGAAGTAGTGGGTAAGCAAAAATCAGCCAGACAGCCAGCATGGAGGCCCCTCTACCACGCAAGGCAAATCAAGCCAATCCCCTGTCTGCTTTATATTAATGATTACAAGTTACCATAGAGAAAAAAGCGGATGGATCTTAGTGGCGACAAACTTGTATGGCTTACTGACTACAATCTATGGAACATACAAGGCATCAGTAGAAAGGAGAAAGGATAATAGAGATGATGAGAAAAGCAAAATTAGGAATCTTGGCTCTGGCTGAAAGCAAGAAAAAGGAGCATGGATTCACAGATCCCGATGAAACACAATACGTCAAGATCTCGACACATAGGCCTTACAATTGTGAGTGGATCAGTCACAGTTACGATGGTTTGGATACGTTTGCAGAATGGGAGAGAATCAGCCACCAGGGCAGGCATGGGAGGCAATGAACCAGGGAATGAAACCACCAGGGTGACCTACTGACAGTGAACCAGGGAATGAAACCACCAGGGTGACCTGACAGTGAACCAGGGAACAAAACCACCAGGGTGACCCAGAGGGACTGGAATGGAACAAAGCCAAAAATAAAACTGCTGACAGAAAAGTCTGGTGATCTCTCTGGCAGACATCTCCACCCCAAGGTAGAAGAGAGTCCACTAAGACACATTTTTATCTTGATTTTATCTACATATAGTATACAGAATTTCAAGTGTGTATGTAAAAAAAAGTAACTAGTCAGCAATAGTGGTGCCCCATCTGAGAAGGAAATGTTCCTATATTTAACTTAAATACAAATTAAAAACATACTGACCTCTGGACCATACGGTAACCTTGAGATAACCTCTGGTGCCATCCAGTATGGGGTCCCAACAAGTGATTTCCTCTTCGGCAAATCTGGTGTTACTTGTGCACAGAACCCAAAGTCTGACAATTTCACCTGCAGGATGAACAGAAACAGGGATTGTAGCAAAGTAGAAGTTAAACAGCTTTAAAGGCGTATGTCACAACTATAGCAAGCAATTTTTGTGGTATTGTCTTTAAAAATCCGAACATGCTGATTGCCTGTACCAATATACATATTTGTATAATTTCTTCTTCTTCTGAGTCTGCCATTAAAATGACAGTTGGTATGTCGTGAATAGGTAAAGATGTGATAAACAAATTGGTAGGACACCAGGAGCCTCTTTTGGCAGTGGTGAAATGTCACAAGCTAGTCTGGTTCGGGCAGGTGGTGAGACATGCTTCGATTGCAAAGATTACACGTCAAGGAACACTGGGGGCATTAAAAAAAAAGAGGGGGGTGGGGGGAGGACCTGAAATGACACCACCAAGAGATGGACAGGACTAAAATATTATAGATTTGTTCAAAAAGTGGAAAGACAGAGAAAGATGACTGGTTTCGTGTGCTAGTTCTTCTATCAATATACCTCCACGACCCTGACAGGTGTGAGTCATGGATAATGACAACAGCTCGCAGAAGCCAGCTTCAGGTCTAAAAAAATGAGGCATCTAAGAAAGGTGGCTCAAGTGAAAAGAAGGGTCAACGTTCGCAACCAGACAATATGTCATGATCTTTAAATCCAGACCTTACAAATTCTAATGGATCAGTCACAATTAACGATGGTTCAGTCACATATGCAGAGTGGGAGAGATCGGCCACCATGGCAGGCTAAGAACCAGGAAACCAGACTTCCAGGATGACTCTGGATTCACTGGGATGACAATTTCCAACAGTGTCTGGCTGATGGAGGAACTGGAATGGAAAAAAAGACAAAAACAAAACTGCTGTCAGAGAAGCCTGGCGATCTCTTTGACTAAACCTCTACACCCCATGTTAGAAGATGATAACTAAGAAAAAATAAATACCAAATACTTTTTACATGCTCAGTATGAGACACATACTTTCTATATGGTTATGAGACTTTGTCCCTAGTGGATGTGTACTCAGAAGAACAGGAATGCCAACAGTGTACTCTCTACTGAAGCAAAGATGCCTGTGCTGGTTTGAACATGTCTCCAGCATGAAGGACAGTCACATTCAAGAGGACCTCTTGTATGGTAAACTGGAAACAAGAAAGACCCTACAGGAAGGTCATAGCTACTCGACAAGGATATATGCAAATGCAACCCGAAACATACCAACACTGACACAGACACTCCTGTGGATGCAAACAGTGAAAGACAGACTGTCGCACTTTACAAGAGACTTAATGCAACAGCCTCAGAGTATCAACGCTTTTTATGTAGTCTATTTGGTAGAGACTGGCACACACCTGTGAGAGTTTACAATCATAGCAGACGCAGTTTCCAGGATCAGTGGCATAGCTCCATCGTCCCAGGGATCAACGGTTGCCTACAGACAGTAATAAAACTAAAAACTAAAAATCTGACAACTGATACAGGAACATTTCACTAAACATCAAGGAATAAATCTGATTTTAAAAAAGTATAACAAAAAGTTTAAAAACGAACCTTCCCATCGTATGACAAGAGAATAGAGTCAGACTTGATGTCCCTGTGTATGACTCCATGTGAATGTAAAAAGGCCAGGGCTTTCAGGCAGGCTCTACACACAGTAGCAATCTGAACCTCATCCATCCTGTCACAGATTGATCAAAATGCATGGTTACTTCACTACAGTGTAAAATGTTTGTTTAATTTAACATAAAAATGATTACAATTAGCTGTGAGTGGCCAAGCTGGTTACATTTTTAACTGATATGACACTGGAGAATTGTATGACAGTGTCGCTTGTCAAGGCATCCTTATACACACCCACCCACATAGGACTACAGGTTGTCCGTAACCGTAGGGTATCCCAATACAACTGTACTATACGACTGAAAGGGGTAACCAGGATCCAAACCTTTTTGAGTCTCATCCATGAGATGTTAATCCTAAAGAATGCAATCCATGTTTGAAAGTGTGTGGATTACCTTGTGCTCTGTCCACAGAATAATCGATGTAATGATTGCTTTGTCTATGTAATTATTCAAAGACAGCAACAATTTCATGATTATAACATAGTGTTCACTTTTAGATGTCCCTTACAAAAAAAAACTTGAGTCAAGTTTTAACAAATCAAAAAAATTCAAAAACACTATTTAGCCAATCCTATATTACAGTGAAGAGTTGAGATTCTACTTTTAGCAAAAGAGAGTTTCATTTTCCTTCAAAGTCCTCAGTCCCATAGTCTCATCACATCAACATTTCTGAAAATCTTACAGAACTGGTCCTCTGAGGACCAGCCTATCAGAGATTATCAGAGGACTGGCCTATCAGAGATTATCAGAGGACCGGCCTATCAGAGATTATCAGAGGACTGGCCTATCAGAGATTATCAGAGGACCGGCCTATCAGAGGACCAGCCATTATCAGAGGACCGGCCTATCAGAGATTATCAGAGGACTAGCCTATCAGAGATTATCAGAGATTATCAGAGGACCGGCCAATCAGAGATTATCAGAGGACCGGCCTATCAGAGCCGGCCTTTCAGAGATTATCAGAGGACCAGCCTATCAGAGAACCAGCCTAACAGAGATTACCTACCATTCTGCATATTTTAAACACCTCATCTGCTACTACTCTATTTCTTATTCAAGCAACGAACAGATGGGAAAAATTGAGGACTTAAATACCAGCATTTATATAGCTTACACCAAGGCCAGCACCAAATACCTCTTCAAAACCAGTTAAAAACGGAACATGGTCTAGAGAAAAGAAGATACATTTGAACAAAGGGGTGTTTACCCCAACAGTCCCACATTCTCAAAAGCTGCAGCAGATTTGTTTAAACATCTGTAGCTATTTTGTTTCCTTAGTGTGTGTTACTGCAGGCCAGAAGGAGAGGTAGAGTAACGAACGTGTGAGAATTGAAAAGTGGGTAAACCCACTTCCAGAGTGTGTGAGAATTGCAAAGTGGGTAAATCCCACTTCCAGAGAGTGTGTGAGAATTGCAAAATGGGTGAACCCACTTCCAGAGAGTGTGTGAGAATTGCAAAGTGGGTGAACCCACTTCCAGAGAGTGTGAGAATTGCAAAGTGGGTGAACCCACTTCCAGAGAGTGTGTGAGAATTTCTAAGTGGGTGAACCCACTTCTAGACAGTGTCAATAAGGCAGAAGGGAAAAAACTTCTTAAGACAAGCTTCCTAATGTTGTTTGCTCCTCGGAGGAGTTATTTCTACAGTAACACTGTAACTAAATGCATGTCTTGAGAGGGATGGCAGGAGACTACCTTCTGCCATACACGGCTTTAGATGAGTCATCCCCTCACCCCAAAGGCATTTATCATCTCGTGAACCTTGGAGAAGTGCTAGGATATCTGATCGCCACAGTTCTGATCAACATATGAACCTTGGGTAGGTGCTCAGATATCAGTTCATCCCAACGACCTTTATCAATTAGGCAGACAATTAGAAATGCTGTGTCCTGTTATCATTCATTAGCTGAGTTATCCCACTTCTGATCTGCTTTCAGAGGGCAGTGACTGCCCCTGCATCAGTGGATACAAGTAAATTAAATGGCTGTATTATGTCAGTGCTAACAACTCATGGCATGTCCCTTAACAACTCATGACATGTGCCTTAACAACTCATGGCATGTCCCTTAACAACTCATGGCATGTCCTTTAACAACTCATGGCATGTCCCTTAACAACTCATGGCATGTCCCTTAATTATTTTAGACTTCTCATACATGCCATTACGCTGCCTGCACTCATTAACTCTTACGCTGAAGTAATAACTATATTATAACGGATCAAAACAAGTTAAAATAACAGTTAAAATTAAACCAAATGAGTTCTCCAGAAGGTACAAGAAACTACCACTAAGATCAATCAGGTAACTGTAACAGTTATAAGATGGTATCAGTTGGTCAAGAAGAAAAAACAATAGGGTTTAAAAAAAGTATAATTAAATTGGTAATGGTTTGAATAAAGTAGAATTAAGATGGTACAGGTAAATAAAGGACAATTCAGATGGTACAGGCAATGTAGAATCAAGATGGGTCAGAGAAATAAAGAAGAAATAAGATGCTAAAGGTAAATAAAATTGAATTCAGATGGTACAGGCAAATAAAGTACAATTAAAATGGTATAGGTAAACAAAAAAGGGTAGTATTAAGCAGATGGTTCAGGTTAAAAAGAAACAGTAGTATTAAAAAGGTACAGGTAATTAAAGGTAGCATTAAAATGAATAGATTTAAAAAAAAAATTACAAACCTGGTGTGGGTGACAACATCCGTGAGGGCGCCACCTTCCATGTACTCCATGACCACCCAGAGCTCATCATTGACCAGGTAGCTGTTGTACATCTCAACAATGTTGGGATGACAGTAGTCTCTCATCACAACCACCTGACAAAATATGCCAGAGAATCAATGTATCAAGCAGTAAGACTGGCCATTATAACAACTGAGAAGGTACTCTCTCTTCTGCGCAGTTCCCAGTTACTTCTGTTATACTTACAAAGATATTTTCTTCTGCCTACCTACAAAGAAAACATCCTACGCTCCTCAAAAATCATGCAGTAATGGATCCGAAGATGTGCTTACGCAGTCCAGGGCAAAATACTGGAAGGACTTGAGTTTTCTGTTTCTGCCTTTTAGCTACCAGTGGAGCACAGGCTTCAAACAACTTAGGCTAAACCCCCCTGTCCCATGCTATCCTTTACACGTCTTCTATGCTTTCCTTTACACGTCTGCTATGCTATTCTTTACACGTCTTCTATGCTACTCTTTACACATCTTCTATGCTATCCTTTACACGTCTTCTATGCTATTCTTTACACGTCTTCTATGCTTTCCTTTACACGTCTGCTATGCTATTCTTTACACGTCTTCTATGCTACTCTTTACACGTCTGCTATGCTATCCTTTACACGTCTGCTATGCTATTCTTTACACGTCTTCTATGCTATCCTTTACACATCTTTTATGCTACTCTTTACACATCTTCTATGCTATCCTTTACACATCTTTTATGCTACTCTTTACACATCTTCTATGCTACCCTTTACACATCTTCTATGCTACCCTTTACACGTCTTCTATGCTATCCTTTACACAACTTTTATGCTATCCTTAACATGTCTTCTATGCTATCCTTTACACAACTTTTATGCTATCCTTAAGATGTCTTCTATGCTATCCTTTACACAACTTTTATGCTATCCTTAAGATGTCTTCTATGCTATCCTTTACACAACTTTTATGCTATCCTTAAGATGTCTTGTCTATGCTATCTATCCTTTTACACAAACTTTTATGCTATCCTTAAGATGTCTTCTATGCTATCCTTTACACAACTTTTATGCTATCCTTAACATGTCTTCTATGCTATCCTTTACACAACTTTTATGCTATCCTTAAGATGTCTTCTATGCTATCCTTTACATATCTTCTATACCATCCTTAACATTTCTTCTATGCTATCCTTTACATATCTTCTATACTATCCTTAACATTTCTTCTATGCTATCCTTTACATATCTTCTATACTATCCTTAACCATTTCTTCTATGCTTCCTTGACATATCTTTTACATACCTTATCTTCTATGCTATCCTTACATGTCTTCTATACCATCCGAACATATCTTCTATGCTATCCTTTACATATCTTCTATACCATCTTACCATGTCTTCTATACTATCCTTTACATATCTTCTATGCTATCCTTTACATATCTTCTATACCATCCTTAACATGTCTTCTATGCTATCCTTTACATATCTTCTATGCTATCCTTTACATATCTTCTATGCTATCCTTTACATATCTTCTATACTATCCTTTACATGTCTTCTATACTATCCTTTACATTTCTTCTATGCTATCCTTTACATATCTTCTATACCATTTTACATATCCTTTACATATCTTCTTCTATACCCTTTACATTTCTTCTATGCTCCTTTACATATCATACCATCCTTAGATATCTTCTATGCTATCCTTTACATATCTTTTAACATATCTTCTATGCTATACCTTTAAATGGTTCTTCTATATCCTTAACATGTCTTCTATGCTATCTTTAGCTATATCCTTTACATATCTTCTATACTATCCTTTACATTTCTTCTATGCTATCCTTACAGCTATCCTTTACCAAAAGAAGAAAAAAAAGAAAACATTCTTCTCAGCTACATATCTTCTATACCATCCTTAACATATCTTTCTATGCTATCCTTTACATATCTTCTATACCATCCTTACATGATGCTATCCTCTTTCTTCTATGCTATCCTTTACATATCTTCTATGCTATCCTTTACATATCTTCTATGCTATCCTTACACACATCTTCCGTCTATAGATCTATCCTTAACATTTCATTTCTATGCTATCCTTTTACATATCTTCTATACCATCCTATGCTAACATTCTTCCCTAAGTATATCTTCTAATGCTATCCTTACTACATATCTTCTATTTCGATGCTATCCTTTACATATCTTCTATGCTATCCTTTACATATCTTCTATACTATCCTTTACATGTCTTCTATACTATCCTTAACATTTCTTCTATGCTATCCTTTACATATCTCCTATACCATCCTTAAGATATCTTCTATGCTATCCTTTACATGTCTTCTATACCATCCTTAACATATCTTCTATGCTATCCTTAACATGTCTTCTATGCTATCCTTTACATATCTTCTATACCATCCTTAACATTTCTTCTATGCTATCCTTTACATATCTTCTATGCTATCCTTTACATATCTTCTATGCTATCCTTTACATATCTTCTATACTATCCTTTACATATCTTCTATACTATCCTTAACATTTCTTCTATGCTATCCTTTACATATCTTCTATACCATCCTTAACATTTCTTCTATGCTATCCTTTACATATCTTCTATACCATCCTTAACATATCTTCTATGCTATCCTTTACATATCTTCTATACCATCCTTAACATGTCTTCTATGCTATCCTTTACATATCTTCTATACCATCCTTAACATTTCTTCTATGCTATCCTTTACATATCTTCTATGCTATCCTTTACATATCTTCTATGCTATCCTTTACATATCTTCTATACTATCCTTTACATATCTTCTATACTATCCTTAACATTTCTTCTATGCTATCCTTTACATATCTTCTATACCATCCTTAACATTTCTTCTATGCTATCCTTTACATATCTCCTATACCATCCTTAAGATATCTTCTATGCTATCCTTTACATGTCTTCTATACCATCCTTAACATATCTTCTATGCTATCCTTTACATATCTTCTATACCATCCTTAACATGTCTTCTATGCTATCCTTTACATATCTTCTATGCCATCCTTAACATGTCTTCTATGCTACCCTTTACATATCTTCTATGCTATCCTTTACATATCTTTTATGCTATCCTTTACATATCTTCTATGCTATCCTTTACATATCTTCTATGCTATCCTTTACATATCTTCTATACTATCCTTTACATATCTTCTATACTATCCTTTACATATCTTCTATGCTATCCTTTAAATATCTTCTATGCTATCCTTTACATATCTTCTATACTATCCTTTACATATCTTCTATGCTATCCTTTACATATCTTCTATGCTATCCTTTAAATATCTTCTATGCTATCCTTTACATATCTTCTATGCTATCCTTTACATATCTTCTATACTATCCTTTACATATCTTCTATGCTATCCTTTACATAATTTCTATGCTATCCTTTAAATATCTTCTATGCTATCCTTTAAATATCTTCTATGCTATCCTTTACATATCTTCTATGCTATCCTTTACATATCTTCTATGCTATCCTTAAATATCTTCTATGCTATCCTTTAAATATCTTCTATACTATCCTTTACATGTCTTCTATGCTATCCTTTACATATCTTCTATGCTATCCTTTACATATCTTCTATACTATCCTTTACATATCTTCTATGCTATCCTCTACATATCTTCTATGCTACCCTTTACATATCTTCTATGCTATCATTTACATATCTTCTATGCTATCCTTTAAATATCTTCTATGCTATCCTTAACATGTCTTCTATGCTATCCTTTACATATCTTCTATGCTATCCTTTACATATCTTCTATGCTATCCTTTAAATATCTTCTATGCTATCCTTAACATGTCTTCTATACTATCCTTTACATATCTTCTATGCTATCCTTTACATATCTTCTATGCTATCCTTAACATGTCTTCTATCCTTTACATGTTGTTTCTTGTATGATAAATCTCAACCTCTAATTCTTTGGTCCTTCCCTAGTTCTTTTGCCTTTTGGATTCTGGTGAAAGGACTTGCTAGTTTGAATATTAACAGATGTTCTCATTTTAAGTCTTATCCGCCAGCACAATCTTTGTTTTATTAAACTCACCACTTAGTTCTCTTCATCAGCAAATCTGTTATTCTGTCATCACATTTTAGTCATCTTTTTTTTTTAATGCAGACACTTTGGTTTTGTTACTGCTAAAATCTGTTTTTATGAGGTTTGTACCGAACTTCATATCTGAAGATCCCCATGCAGGTTACAGGGACCCCATTTTGGGGGAATAAAGAACGACCTACTGCCTTCTTAACAAGCATATTGTTTAAGGCCACTAATTATGGGTTTTTTCCCTTTGAAGTTGGAGTGCAGCTAGCTGACAGGCGAGGAACCACCAGTCTGCATACACATCAGCCAGATATGTAAAACAGATGTTCATGCAAAACTCAAATTCTTGACCAAATTCAAGAGAAAGATGAACAACCCGAACTTTTCACCAGAGTTTACAATTGGTGACTGCGAAGAAGTTATCTGAAGAAAGGTATATTTGATAGTAGGCCAGTCATAGCCAGCACAGCACACCGAAACTGGCATGAGGCCCAGGTAGGTTAGGTTTCCTCCATGGCTTGTAGGGATTTCATTTCAACAGACTTAACCCGACTGGTGGGAAACTGCAGACACTACAGAATAAATAAACAGACAAACAGGAGAAAATGAATGAAAGAAGCTAGTTATATTTTCCTGTAGAAAGGCTAGACCCACTCACATTAGGAAAAGTTATCCACGGTTAGATCGCGGGATTTCAGGACCATTCTGACTACTGCAAGTCTTTAATGAGCTTCTTCTCAGATGCTCAGCTCTGAACCTGTCTGCACTCACTATCTCCTGTATCTCTATTTCCCTCCTGATTTTCCCCCCTCCAAGCAACACAGTATATGGCACATGTTCTCACGTATCCACCTAAATACCTGTATCAATCATAAGTAATGCACAGGAAAAAAAATAAACAGAATTAATTAATCATTATTCATCAAAACTTAAATACAATGAAGATAAACTCACAGAAATACAAAAGAAAGCACAATGTTATAAACTACTCACCTCATTAAAAAGTAGTTCTCGGCGCTGCTGTTTACGCAGATCCATTTTCTTCACCGCTATCTGCCTGCCTTTTGATTGATCAAATGCTGTACACACAACACCAGTGGAGCCCTCGCCAATTTTAATAAAGTTGCCTAGAAACTGGCGAGGATCTCCAGGATTTACAACATACTGCAATGTGCGACGGAACTGGAAATGGAACCATAAACACACACATGACGTTGCTGATACAATGTATCTCAATCAGAAATAAAAGTAGGAGCCGACATGGCGTGGCGGCTAGATACTCGCCTGTGGGGTCTGAAGACTGTGGGTTCAAATCCGGATGGAGTTGGACCTTTCTAAACAAATACCTTGGTTCCAGGTCAATCCAGCCCTAAATGAGTACCAGGTGGAGTACTGGGAAGTAAAGGTGGCCGGCGTGATGTTGACTTAATGAATGCTGATTGGTCTACAAAATAAAGGTCTAGCACTATATGCCCAATATGCCTAAAGGCCGGCAAAAAGGTCCTTTATGAACAAAAATTCATCACACAAATAAAACTGCTATGTATTAGGGTCACAGATATGATTACAATTGAACAAAATTAGTTTCAGTCCTAAGAAACTGCATGTATCATTTAATGATGCAGTTTGTAAAAAGCAGCCATGGAAACAAGTGAAAAGCAGATCAACACAAAGATATTGGATATTACCAACTGTACACTTTTCTGCCAGCCACAAAGTGTTGGGTTCAAACCCGCATCAAGTCAGATTTTATTTTCAAAACAAACCTTGGCTCCCAGGTCAACCCAGCTTAAAATGGTTACCAGGTAATGACCTGGGAAGTAAAGGTGGCCGGTGTGATGCTGACAACATCAACGACACTGTGCCAGTTGGTCTATAACCATATGAGTTAATTATCATGTATGCCTTATGTGGCACTAGCACAATAAGTGTCCTTTACACTTTGTTTACTTTTATTAATCTTACTCCATACAGGGGGAATCGTTCATACGACATGTCATCTTTTTCTTCTTCTGCTGTTCATCTCCCACTGACGCATAGACCCTCAACGAATCACGGCAAGCTTTGTTGTAAACTTGTTCATAATTGGTTGATTTTGTAGATAAAGTTCTTCCTGGATGAGGCCATCAGTACCCTAACTGTCAGAAAATTGTCTGCTATGTATTTGACAAGGCTGAGAAACCTGATCAAAAGATAACTCCTTCCTTGGAGGAAGGCTAACCTTTTCACCCCATGGACCTAGAAAAACAAAAAAACATAGCCAAGATCCCATACTTTCCACATTTTGGGACTCTCAGGAAAATCTTTACAAAAAATAACCCCTTTACACACACACACACACACAAAACAGCTTTATGGGGGAAAACAAAACAAAAAACTAATACTGAACAGAGGGAAGTAATCAATAAAAGCAAATGCCACACATAATCAAGTGGCTCAAGTTTCCCTGAGGCCCTTTGGGAGCGAGTGAACAGTGCGGAGGCACAGATGGATTGTTACAGTCTGGGGAGAATGGAGCTGCAAGGAGTTGCCAGGGGATCTGGTCGACGATCGGCACTCAGGGGAAGGATGAGACGGATGCACAATCAGACGGTTACTGGTATCATCGGAATTGGAAATCTTCGCTTGCTGCTGAAGATGGGGACTGAGCACTTATGGGAGTGTCCTAAGAGCTGTGATGTCAATTCTTAATTCAACATTCAAGTTTCCCTGATAGTCTAAACCAGGGTTAATCAATTAAGTTTACACAATTTTAACAATGAGGATCGCCACGGGTCAAAGGCCGAAACCCCAGCATAGAAATATTATTAATACAAAACAACTGGAAATGATCCATGGGCCTTTGCAGGCCAGACTTGACCCATGGGCCACCAGTTGAATAGCCCTGCTAACTACAGCACGACAATTACATGACACTGTGACCCAGTCATCCAGTAACAAATATGACCTTAAACATTTCTAAAAATAACACCATTCTTTTTTTAACAAGGAAACATCCCTAAATGGTATTTTTAGTAAATGTAATCATTCACGGTCATGATAAACATTTGCGCAGACACAAGCGAAATTAATTCTGTTAGCTAGGCTTCTCCTTAACAAGTCACTATAGCGAGATTTGAAAGCAGCCTTTAAGGAGGCATGGTACCAACTAGAAGGTTTGTAGTTTCTAGTAGCAAGATAAACCTAGGACCGGCAGATAGATGACTGCACTAGCTACACTATGCTCCTCAGTACTTAGGTTATGGCTATTCAACTGCTGGCCCATGTGCCAAATCTGGCCCAAGGAGGCCTAGCAAGTGTCTCATGGACCATTACCAGTTGTATAATCTTTCTATGGCCGGCGACAATTCCCTTTTCTAACATGTTGGCCCCTGAGTAAACTTAGTTATGTACAGTTCCAGAAAGACGTACCTCATCATGTGACAGCCGTTGTTGCTCTGCTCCCATCCCCTGTTGGTGAGTATGACCGGAAGATGAGCTGGCAGGTGAGGACTGCTTGACGCCGGAGCTACCACCACTAGATGTTGAGGACTGCCGAGGCAAGGGCTGTCGAGGCAAGGAATGCGCTCCTCCATGCTGGTGATCTGGAGGCAACTAGAAAAAGACAAAAAAAATGAGAAAGTCGTAAGTCAAACTAAAAATGTTCAATACTATTTCAATTTAAACAAGCTGTAACAACGTTTTTTGTGTGTACATAAAATACAAGCATTCAATCTATCTAAATATGATTACTGTGATTGACTGGCACCTTTCCATCTTTCCAGACAACGTGTTATATTGCGCTATGAGGGGCCACGGGACTCACCGCTCATGTCGATGGCGAGTGTGACTAGTTAGACCAGCTCATGTTAAGAAAAGTCTTCCACAATTATAGCACAGGATTTCCGAACCATTGTTGTCAACATTTGCGTTTAGTCTGTTGTTTTCTCAGATGTTTAGCTCTCATCTCTTATACAATCATTACTTCCTTCATTCTCATTCCGCCCACACAGCACGGCCCATGGAATTTTGTTCCAATGAGTCCATCTTAATTCCAGTATCATTCATGTCCAAAATTTTTGTCTGTAATGTGAAAAATACATAATATATAATCTATTTCATTAGCTCCTTTAACCTTTTGACCGTCTTTCTTTAATATTTTCATTGATTTCTTTCTTTGTGGTTGTAAGTGTTGATGGTGATAAGTCACACACAGGTCGTAAGTCAAGGATAGTGTACTTTAAATGGCAAAAAGGATAGTTAAAAGTTCAAAATGAAGATATTCAGGAAGAACTAATCTCTCTCTTCATCATCATCATGTGCTTTGCCAGATGGCATAAATGTTCAGGTCTCTTTGGTGTATTGGATCAATTCTATTGGTAAAGGTAAATTCGGGAGATGTGAATCAGTGTCATTGCACACGGTTCATAGGACCAGTATGGGCAGCTGATAAAAATTGTCCGCCTGTGTCGCCGTTTCTAACTCTTAGCTACAGCATTCATTTACCCCATGGCAACAAGGCCCGGTTTCGAAACACCGACCGTTGCAGCAAGTCGCAGCTGGATTTGAAAGTGAAAAGACTGCGTTAACAAAATGATCAGATATCATAACAGGCAACTTCTTTACTGGCACAGAAGCTTAAACATTTCATTACAGTTTTTTTCTCTAAATCATCATCATGTGCTTTGGTAAATGTTCAGGGGATGTTTCCCCCAAACTCTCACAAGGGTGTACTGGATCAATTCTATTAGTAAAGGTAAAGTCGGGAGATGTGAACCAGCGTCATTGCACATGGTTATAAACCATAAGTGCTCTGCCAGTATGGACAGCAGCATAAAAATTGTCCTGCCTGTGTCGCCACTTTATGGTACTGCTGATAAAAATTGTCCGCCTGTGTCGCCGTTCGCACGTAACTCTGTAGCTACAGCGACGTTCGTCCATTTACCCCAGCGTGTCAACACTGGTACCCATTTCCTAGAATAAGCTGGAAGAACAAGATGGGGAAGAAGATGAGGTGAACTGACAGTACCTCATCCAGTCAAGATATGACGACTTTATTCAGTCAATGCGATGGGTGTGGCAATCAATGTATTTTTTTCTATCCAGTACGTGATGAGGTGAACTAAACATGACAGTATAAGATATGACGACTTTATGCGAGCTGGTGTGGCCCATGCTCCATTGGAGGATTAAGGAGAGAACAAGAATGAACTTACCCTTTCATGCTGTGTCCCGGCTAAAGACCGAGACCCACCTGTGCTATCTGAATGCCTTTCATGCTGTGTCCCGGCTAAAGACCAAGACCCACCTGTGCTATCTGAATGAACACGAGAGACGACAGGAATGTTTTGCTGGCGGGGTAACGAAGATGATCCGCTCCCATTGGTCGTTTGATGGCGGTGATCTCTGGTTCCATGAGGATAAGAACTGTCATCATGATGCTTCCTTCGTGGACGTCCATGTGCATCGTACTCAAATGATCCTTCACTTCTGGAATGACCATCATAAGAACTGTTATTCCTGGAATCACTATCATGATACCCTGGTCTCCCATCCACAGTTTCTGGGTTAAAATTACTTCTACTTATGTTGTTATGTCTCTCATGTGAATCTGGCCGCGACTGTTGAATACTGGTCTGATGTCTGATGCCAGACACTTCTGGAGGTTGGGGATAGCCAGGTTGTCTCTGATCCCCATAAGGCACCTGCTGAAATGCTCGTTGATTATGCGAGTGCTGTCTGGGAGGAGGAGAGTCTTGCTGTCGATGCTGGTCGTACTCCAGGCGTGGCATTTGTGGCATGACAGCATCTTCTGGTACTGATGGATAATTATTTTCTGGAATGTGGTGCTTGTAAACTGGAGGGCTTGAGCGACGTAGAGAATTTGACCTTGCAATAGTGATCTCATGTGGGTAGCCATTATGCTGACCTCTGATGATTGTCTGTTTAAATGTGAAAATATATACATTTAACAAAAACAATGGACATCATAGAAAATTACAAAATTTGAGATGAGATGTTTAGAAAATGTGGCGGGAAAATTAAAAAAACTAGCAAAAGACAGGAAACAACATCCAACTCCTCTATGTGATGCTTTATGGCAGGGCTATTCAAATAGCGGTCCGCGGGCCTAATGTGGCCCACAAAGGATTAGAAAGTGTCTTGTGGGGTCATTGCCAGCTGTGTTGTATTAACGATCTGTCTATGCTGGGTCTCAAGCCTCTGGCCCATGATGATCCCAGCTTTCACAATGTTGGCCCCTGAGTAAACTTAGACGAATAATCCTGTTTTATGTCATAAGCAGTAGGACAAACAAAGAAGAATTTATTTTCCCAGCATGCATCACCTTAAAAAAAATGTTTCCAAAGTGCTTGGCAGAAACCACCAATAGTTTATCATCACAGCACGGAGAATGTTAGCACATAAAATCCTTCTTATTTATTTACCTTCAAAAGTGTGGTTGACCTGCTGCCTTGTGGTTTACAACTTCTTCTTCTGCCTTTCTAGCCCCCAATGGAGCATAGGCCCTCAAACAACTCATGCCAAGTCGTTCCATCTTTTGCTATCGCCTGCAGCTCTCCCCATCTCCTCCCCATCGTTCAAACTTCATTCTCCAGCTCCCTTCTCCGTGTGTTTTTTATTATTTCTATGCCCCTGTGGGTTAAACTGCAAAGATATTCTAGTTATATTGTTCTCCGGTTTTCTCAATGTGTGTCCTATCCAACGCCAGCGTCTTTTCTTCACCTCTTGGCCCACTGGAGCTTGCTTAGTTCTCTCCCAAAGCTCTACATTAGTGATTCTATCATACCATTTAATTTCCTCTATTCTGCACAGGCACCAGTTAATGAATGTCTGTAGTTTATTAGTAACTGCCTTAGTTGTTCTCCATGTTTTCGCTCCATACAAAAGTTCTCACTTGACACTGGAATTAAAAACTGTTAAGTTTAGTATTTCTTTTAACTTGTTTTGACATCCACAAATTCCCTAGTGCTATAAAAGCTCCTCTTTTTTTTTTTATATTCTTATTTTAATATCTCATTAAGCATATTTATTTATCTTGCCTCTGATTGCATGAATGGGACAGAAGAAAAGTATCATCAACGAAGTCCAGATCATCAAGTTGTTTTGTATTTTTTGACCCAACATATCCGATTTCAGCAACTCCTTCATTAGTCACCTCTTTCGACCTGCCTATTAAAAGGACAGTGGGCAGATTCTTTTCCCCTCCGAAATGGGGAGCCAGAACCCACTCGGGAACATGAATCATGAAATCTGTGGCATGATTACCCTCACCTGCTGTCACGATCCATGATGATGATGATGAATTGAACACCACTTCGTACTGTTAATTCATATAATAATATAAAGTAAAATCATAAAATAATATGACTCTTTAAATAATAGGGTCGTGAAGGTGTACCATGGAAGTACTAGCACACAAAACCAGCCATCTTTTCCTTGTTGTATAAGTGTACAAGGTTCTTATCTGCAAGATAAGATGAAAATAATAATAACGTCAAAAATAATGATAAAACAGACAAATCATATAGTTTAAGTATTACCTTCAGGGGCTCCACATCAGTTGGAGTTATCGTTGAGGGATCCACAATTGGCTGCCTCCTGCCCTTGTTTGCATCAATAATGCTGGCCCACTGAGGTGGCAAACCGAAAAACTCCCCATTCTCCCAGTCAAAACCTGTGTGGACCCGATGCTGAAAGTTCGATGGGGCAGAAATCGCTATCTGTGGTTTTTTCTTCTTCTTGAACATTTTATACAAAATACGTGCAGGTGATAATCAACACTGAAATAATAATAAAACATGTAGCAAACATGTTAGTATCTTTAATGAGTTAATAAAACATAAGATCATATGCTATCCTGAGAGCGAGAGACAAGAATTGAAAAAAGTAAGACATCACTTTTTAATGTGCCCTGTTTTGGTAGGTCGGCATCTGTGGCTTAGGCAATGCAAACATGATTCGGAATTCCAAGGTACCTGGTTTGATTCCAGCTGTGTGCGTTCTGTCAGAAGACCGCCTTGTGCTGTATACTATGTATATGGCTATAGAGAGCCAAATGTTGAGAAGCAATGGCAAACTACTGAATGCCAAGTTCCCTAGTAAAACAAATAAAGCCAGCAAATGCTGGGGTTCATTCTGCAATGTCCCGTAAAAGAAACACAACTAACTTTTGTATTGGTAGTCCTATGGAATCAACTGCTACTCCCAAATTCTGTCAAAACTAACACTTTATATGGAAACAAACTAACCTTCTCTATCTTTGCCTGTTTTCGTTATGTGTGTTTATTCCCAACTGTGCAATGGAGAAATCATGTTCGAATTTGACAGGAGCATTCAAGATAAACCAAATAACAGCCACCCATTTATTGTGGATCCTATTCTTCGTATTTATCAGCTATAACTCCAATGACCAGTTCTGATCTTTTGCCCACATCTGGACAAAATAGTCCTGTTCCAGAACTTGAGAGTGGTAGGTACATCCATTTCACAGATCTGGCTTATGTGATGCAGACTGTTAGTTCCTTACCTCTCAGAAAGATACACTTTGACTCTGAAGGAACCCCCCCCCCCCCCACACCCACTAGTTGATTTTATGACTTTTGTTTGGTTGGGGGTGAGGGGAGTGAGGAGATAGTGGGCCTATTCCCCCTTTCCCTCGAAATGGGGCCCCAGAACCAGCACAGGGAATGTACGACAGATGATGCCAGCAACACAGATGCATTTTGATGGCGTCGAGAATAAAAATCAAATCATGTATTGGAAATCTATTCACAAACATCAAAGAAAGCAAATATGGTACCCAATGGGGAAAAGGTCATGCTGTCTTTCGGAATGCTGCAGGACAGTACTCATCAACTAGTTTTTGCCGTATGTCTCAAGACATGGTAAGTGTTTGTTTACTTTACAACACAGGTATCAATATGCAAACAAAATGATCCTTAATGACAACACCAAACCAAATATACTGTCAGTCTAGTCTTAAAAAGTCGACCAAGATCAGAGATGAGTACACGCTAAGTTAGGACTATTAAACTAAAAGGCAGCCAACATCTTGAAAATGAGGATCGGCACAGGTCCAAGCCCTAGCGTAGAAAGATCATTAATACAATAGGCAATGATTCACAGGCTACTTGCTAGGCCTCTGTGGGTCAGATACAGGCCACTATGGATGGCCAGCTGAACATTGAATTTACTAGCTTAGCAAACTTGTAACTTAAGTCAAAACATAATAAATGATGTCAGTTATATTCAAACTTCTTGAATCAACACTCGACTGATTTTGATTCCTTTTACTTCATCAGTGAACATTGATGATGTCTAGTATTAGTGTACTGTATGTTAAGAGTTGTGCAGTCTAAACTAAAAACAAATAAAATTACTTTCTAGTTGAAAGTTCTTTTCTAAACCATTTGTTATGTTAAGCTAAAACTTAATACGTCTGTTGATGCCTGTTATTGTTATTTTTTCCTTGCATTCGAGAATTACAGCAGTCAAAACAAATAAATGTATTAATTAAACCGATTTCACTGTACAGACGATGGTCTCCTGTGACAGTTCTGGAGTTCTCAGTTCAGTCGGCAACTTGACTTCCGTGTCGTGTCTACAGTGTTCCGCACTTCAAAGACAATAAACAGAGCAATATTTACTGCTGTCTTTTACAAGGCAGTGTCTGTAATTAATGTCTCAGCGACAGTTCAAGTGTCAGATTACCATACGACAGCAAGTTACACAGTTCAACTCTTACCTGGGTCATCAACTCAACCATGTCAGTCGTTACGCGACAAGCCCGGCGCCATGTTTGGAAGTCATACATCCGGGGGCTTCCTGTCATCCAGTGCTGTACCCCCCTGTACTTTGGTGTCTATGTCGACACAGTCTTATAATATCAGTACCAGCAAGTAAAGTTCTGGAAAGTAGAAGCGGCCGGCGTGATTCTGACCACATCATCTAATATAGTTCTAGTCCTGTATACACAAGATGTCTGAAGTTGTGAAAAAGGGTCCTGTAATTTTACGACCTGAACTCAATTTTTAAAAAAAAAGGGGGGGGGGGGGGGGGGGGGGGGGGGGGGGGGGGGGCGTGGGGGGGGGATGGGGGGGGGGAATAGGTGGCTTCTTTGCTTGAAAAAATAAACAATCGTCAAGTTCAACCAACAACCCCGGAGGGAGAGCTTAAGGTTATAATTGTGATCAAGTTATGTTCGCAAATAAAATGGCTGAGCATTGCAGGCCACCAAGAGCCATGAAAAAGTATCCTGCAGTGTTGATACGATCAAGAGAGACAGACCCAAATACTGTCCTGACCGGCAACGAAGTCATCTACCGGCGAGCTAATGGTCAAACCGGTCGCCGATGCTGGATTGGAGGGTGGGGGGGGGGGAGATCCCTAAGATCGAAAATAATTCTTGGGAAAAAAAAAAGGGAAGGTGGTGGAATTTACCCCTTCCCCATATATTTTTGCAAGGTGACTTAGTGGGCTCGCTAACGTTTTACATAGGTTCCGTTTTGAGAGTAATGTGTTTCCTCGGCATAAGTCCATTTTGGTATACGTTTTACTTGGTATACGTCTTCTTTAGATGCGACTATTTTTGCTTGGCTTACGATCTTTGTTTGGAAACCGACTCGCGTTTTAGAACTTGTATGAGTCAAAATGAATCACGATACCGCACGCTACCATTGCTGGAATCACGACACCGCACGCTACCATTACTTGAGTCACGACACCGCACGCTACCATTACTTGAGTCACGACACCGCACGCTTCCATTACTTGAATCACGACACCGCATGCTACCATTACTTGAGTCACGTCACCGCACGCTACCATTACTTGAATCACGACACCGCACGCTACCATTACTTGAATCACAAAGTAGAGTGAGCTTACATTATCATTTATTTAATTTAATTACTTTTGAATTTATGTATTAAAGTATTAGACAGTTTATGGGATGCTATAAAGGACTTTGAAATATCAAAAAAGTTAATTAGCATCACTAAACTATGTATGGAAGACACTCGTAAAATAGTAATATATAAAGGCAGAAAGTCAGACCTTTTTCAAATAACATCTGCTTTAAAGCAAGGTGATGCTCTGTCCCCACTTCTTTTCAACTTGGCCCTGGATAAAATTATAAGGAAATTGAAACAAGAGTGTACTATAGGAGAAACTACAAGAATACTTGAATATGCTGATGACATTGATATCGTTGAAAAAAAAGTGAACTAGGGACTGTTAAAACACTGATTGCCTTAACAGAATCAGCTCAGAAAATGAGACTAGTTATCAATAAAGATAAGACAGAATGCATGATAATAACTAAACAGGGAAAGGATATAAACTCCAGCCACATACAAGTCGATTATATGAAAATAAAACGAACGGAAACACCAAGATCAAAATATATAAAACGCTGTTTAGACCAGTATTTTATATATGTGGCTCTAAAACTTGGAACACAACTAATAGAGATTAAGCCTTATTACAGGTTTTCGAAAAACAGTCTTACGACGAATCTTTGGACCCATCAAAGATGCAAACAGCGGTGAATGGAGAGTGAGAAGCAACAACGAAATTCATAATCTGTTTAAATCACCAATCATCATTGGCATCATGAGAGCTAATAGACTTAAATGGTTAGGACATATTAAAAGAATGTCAGATGACGGAGAAGTAAAAACTGTATGCACCAGGAAGATGAATGATCGTAGACCACGAGGCAGACCAAGAAGACAATGGAGATATAGTATCCAGACAGACCTGCAAACACTTGGTGTCACCAACTGGAAAGAGAGGGCCAACCAGAGAGATGAATGGAGGCGGGTGATATCTGCAGCAATGAACCTCAAGGGCTCGGAATTCTGAAGAAGAAGAAGAAGTATTAGACAGCGTGTAAATTATATTTTAAACAACCCCAAGTATAATATATCAGTAACCACAACCCCCCCCCCCTCCCCACCGTGTGAACGGATTATTCATTTATTTATTTTGGGAAAATGTGGTTGGCAGACGATCTGGAAAGGGGTTTAGCCTTGTTTACTTAAGCAGTAATAAATGGTATCACTATTACTATTGTGCAGCTAAATAATGCTTAAGCCCCTTCCCCGACCCTAGAAAATGGGAAGGGGGGGGGGGGGGGTTGAAGCCACACCCTCAATGTTTTCTCTGCGCCGCTACGCTAATTTTAGGAGTATGTCATAGCGTAGTTAGTGGTAGTAACTCAAATAAAAATAGCCTGTTCAACCCATTTGTGTAAATATTAGAACATAATTTTTTTTTCTGTTTAAATAATTCATAGGCAGTACGACTATCAACTATGTTTAATTTTAATATCGCATAGCTTATTCATAATTGTAACAGATTGTAGGAATATGCGTTGTTTAGTTTAATATTTGTTGAGTGCACTTTTTAAACAATTATAAAGATCATAATGCACAGTCTATCTTTAGTATCTTTAGGAACATTTAAAGTGATCTTAGATACCGGTATTGTATCTTAAGATGCATTAATTCCTCATATGCTAACCTTTATCCTTAAAATGTACATTTAATCCTTTCCTGTAATTCTCCAGAGTGATATATTTGCATGCGTACGTAAATAACATATTAATTAGAAGATTATTGTACAACTTTTTAATTGCTTTGGCTATTTATTTGTGGAAGTGCTAGCCAGTGCAAGTGACGTGAGTCAGTAATGGAATGGTAATTTTTATAGAAAGAGTTAATATATAGCAGACAACACAAAATGG